CTGATTTGATTCCCATGAGAGCACATACCTGGGCTGTGGGTTCCATCCCTAATCAGGGCACCTACGGGATATTTCTCACATTGATGTTTCTCTCTCTCTCTCTCTCTCTCTCTCTGGTTAAAAGTAAATTTTAAAAAAGAAAACAGCTAGAGTTACCAAGGATTTAGGGAAATGCAAAGATATGCTAAGAGAATGAGCATAGAACAAGAAAGGAAGTGGGAAGGGTCTGAGAAAATGTTGACTTGGACTAGGCTGGAAATGGTAGAGATGGAGACAAGTAGATAGATAAGCTTTGGGAGTGACTTGCTGTTGGATTGAATGGGAATTTGAATACACTCCCAGAAATTCTACCAATTAGGAATTCACTGGGTTTGCAAGCTTCTCTTATAAAAATTCAAATACATCTAAGAGGCTTATGACCCTGGTGAGGGTGTAATTTAGTCTGCATTAGTTCCATCAGCTTACTTTTACCAGCACCTAGCTGAAGTCAGTCATACTTAAAGAGCTGAGAGTTCTGCTTGGGGAGAAGCATGTTTTGCATAAAGGATATAATTGTGTATAAGACAGGACGTGAAGTCTTGGGAAAGACAGAGGCCTGGAAGAGCTTACAGGAGATGCAGAGATGGTGGCAGCACTTGAGAGCACAGAGAACAGGCAAACTGGCCTCTGAAATTTGCCTGATTGCTTCTTAGAGATAAGTTCCCAATTTTCTTTAAAACTGGGAATGTCTCATTTCTTGTAATCTTGTTTGAAAAAAAACATTCTACCAATTTATAGCAGAGGAAAGGAAATAAATAAAAGCATTAAAAGCATCGACACCTTAGCCAGTTTGGCTCAGTAGATGTGGACTAAAGGGTCCCAGGTTCGATTCTAGTCAAGGGCACATACCGGGGTTGTGGGCTCCATCCGCAGGAGGGGGCATACAGGAAGCAGCTGATCAATGATTCTCATCACTAATGTTTCTCTCTCTCTCCCTCTCCCTTCCTCTCTGAAATCAATAAAGATATATATATATATACATATATATATATTTTTTAAAGCATTAACAATTTCCATGTTGTCTTGTTTAAATTCAAGGCAGGCTATCTGATTCTCTAACAATATTTTAGTGATATCATATGATAAAAAGGAATTTTAAAATCTAAAATATTAAAAAGAATCATCAGTGCCATGCGAGATAAATAAATATTATTGATCAATGTTTAAAAATAATTTCAATTATGTTATTTTAAAGATTTTGTTTTATCTTTGGTAAGTAAATATTTATAATTTTTTAAACTCCAGTCTTGTTTAGATACAACAAAAGGTATTACATTTTATTTATTGTTTTATTTTTTCTTTAGGTGCTCACAATCTTATTAAAAAATAATGACACAGATCCTAAAATGTTCCAAATGCTACCTTTTGGGTGCAATTTTGGATACATTTCAAACGTCCTGTGTCAGGCACTGCTCAGAGCTCAGATAACACTACTGGGAAGAATGAGTAATAGCCAAGAATTTGGCTCACTCCTAACCCTGACTTCTTGGATGGTGATCCTGCATAAAAAAAAAGAACAAAAACAACAACTCACACATGAAATAAAACAATTCTCTGATGTTTTGTTTTGTACTTATATTTCAAATATGGAAAAGAAATTCTTCTTATAAAAAAAAAAAACCCCACAAACAGTAAAAAGCAACAAAGAAAACATTAGCAACAAGTTTGGGCTCATAAAAAAATTAGGCAACTTTTTTTTCTTAAGCAAAGCACTAAATGGCAAGATGAAAATAAATCAGTTCGTAAGCCCACAGAAATTCCATGGATTTGTGCCTCTGGATGTGAATCACACGCCTGATGGCAGGTACACTCTGTGTAGCTTCGGGAGGGAACAGACTGCGAGTCTCCCCCGCTGTCTTCAAGCTTTCCTCTGCATCTGGCCCAAACTCCGTGTGTCCTGCTGCCCGTGGAGGGCCCCAGCTGTGTTTAATCGGTATGATCATCCATCCTTTCTCAGCATCCTTGATTCTCTCTGCCGCCTAACCTGGGACAACGCCCGTGTGGGGAAAGGCACTGGGAACCTCAGAATTATCGATCATTGCCAAACACTGTGTTTTTATAGATAAGAGACATGAAGCACAACCAGGCTGGAGATCTGGCTCAGAATTATCCATTTATTAAGCCTCAGAGTGAAGCTTCTCAGGTAATCTCTCAAACTGTGGCGAGACACTTCTCCATGTACCTGTCACATTTCTGCACATTTTGCAAACAGAGGCACTGAACCACCTTTGCTCTGGACTATCTTTTCAAAGACACCTCGATAGCAGATAGCTTTGAAATATAAAGATCGTGTCTACCTCCTCAAAGAGAAGGTTTTGTCCAATATAACAAAACTAATGTCTCCCTTTGGGGCAAAGGGCAGGCATGCTCGCTGCCCGTTACAGAACAGGCAAACTCCCTAAGCTAGGAGCTCCTCTCTTGAACCACAAACCACTAAGTTTACAAGTGTCAGCTGTCTTCTTCACATCGCCCGATGGGGACTGGGCTCAGTGAGCCGGGACAAATGCTGATAGCCTGACTGCAGCCACTGCTGTAAATTATAGAGTCATTTTTCTCTGAGTCAGGAGCCTCCTGTCTCCTGCCAGCACTCCTGACTTGTGAGCTTGGAAGGGAGAAGAAATCTCAGACCCTTCATACTTTTTGACAGAAACCTAAAATTTTAGTGATAGTAACTCATATAAAAAGAAAAATAATACTAAGCACTAAGAGGCCTGTTGCTTGATTTTTCAAATCTAGGGTGATTCAGTTACCATTTTTTAAGCATTAAGTGTTAGGGATACTATGTAATAGTTTATATTCTTCAAATCAAATTATATATATATATGTATACACACACACATATTACTTACTTTATTTTTAAAATTTCATTTATGAAATGATTACATTATCCTCACCCAACAGCAACCTGAAGTTAAGTCACATAGCTAATAGGTGGCAGAGCTAAAATCTCTGGTTTCAAGATTTTGTTTTGCCTTCCTCCAAATAAAACACAGCTAAAAATGGCATGGGCCACTTCAGTTTTAAATGAAATGGCTAAATTGTGTCATATTGTGTTTAGTTTGACAATCTTACCTTTTTAATAGAACTACTGTAGATGTTTAGGCACTGACATGTTGCTATCTAATATGCATTCAATATTAAATATTCAGTATTCAGAACAGATACAATGTCATTAATACTGAGTTTACATTATATATTATATAGTCACAGAAAAAGTCTACCACAAAAGCTGTTCTTTATAAAGTTTAAATCATACAACCATGCTAGAGACATATTCTTTTAAAGCTACACAGCTAAGAAAACATGACAGGAGAAATAATTCCATTTAAAAAGCTATATATCCCATAAACTATCTAGTCATGAAGATAAATAGAAAATAACACACTAGACAGTGGAGAAAGGACATATATTGAGAACTTACAAATGTTCTTATGTTTGCCCAGCCTGTGTGGGTCAGTGGTTGAGCGTCTACCTATGTATGAACCAGGAGGTTGTGGTTCGATTCCCCATCAGGGCACATACCCGGGTTGCGGGCTCGATCCCTAGTGTGAGGTATGTGCAGGAGGCAGCCCATCAATGATTATCTCTCATCATTGGTATTTCTATTTCTTTCTCCCTCTCTCTTCCTCTCTGAAATCAATAAAAAAAAATTTTTGAAAAGAAAATGTTTAAAGCAAAGGAGGAAAACGTCTTAATTTTATGAAAGCAAAACTAGGATATAAACGAATAAACTGGTAATCCATTTCTGGCTATAAATGCACTTTTATCGCTATGATTCTATGTTGCTAATTCTAACACTAAAGAAACTTAATGTTCCGAGTCAACCATTTTGAAATGTAAATAGCAAAAACAAAACCTTAAAAATCTGTAGGCATTTTTCAAAATGCAAACAATATTTTTTTCAAATTGCTTTAACTATTTCCAAACTTATTAGTAGTGTATTAATGGAAATAATTATTTTACTTATGCCTCACATTACTTTAAAAAAATAAACTATTCAGCGGATGTTTATAAAAACAAAACAAATTTAGAGACTATGGAGTCAGTTACAGCTGTCATTTAAGAGAGTAACTACAGAACCAAGTTTACGCAGCTCTTCTTTATTTTAGACAAGGAGCTTAAATTAAAAACTTAAGTGCTGATGCACTTTAATTTATTTTAATCCTTGGTGTATAACAGTAGTAGTATAAGTGGGACATACCAATGTGGTTAATGTTTGATGTGAAAGCAGAAACCCCATGGAAGAGGCGATGGGTGAAGGTATTATTTTTCTGATTCCATTTGGACAACAATTAATTTTAAATATAATGAAAGCTATGTAGGTCTAAATTTTAATCATATAATAAAATACCTTCTAGGGGCATCGCCATTAAACATTAAATGAATTTTAAATAAGAAATATGAAGAACACTTTCATTGATGAGCTTTATAGGAGACTATAATTTCATCTATGAAGACATATAACATCTGATGTTATTTTCCCACTCAGGAAATCTATGAGCAAATGAGATGGTGATTTTTATCCTAAATTTCTAATGTTGTCAAGACAGAGTTCATTCAGTCAGCATCTTGTCTTAAACACACAGACAAATTGAGAAGATATCAAAAAGAAGAAACACATTAATCCTGAAGACATATTTTTTTAATTTCAAGTTTTATATAATTAAGAAGTACTGTAATAATTGCTTTTAAAATAAAGCAGAAAATGTATTAAATCAAACATATATGAAGAAAAGGAATATTTATCTAGAAAGAAAGAAGGCAAAACTGAAAGAAAGAATATTAATGTTACACTCGTATTACTTATTATAGAGGTCTTTCCATTGGTAAAACCTTGTGGATTCTGGAAGATTTATGATTGTGAAATTGGTGGACAAAGGAGCTCATCTATCAGATGGTGTCTCTTACGGACGCCTACATATTTCACATGTTTATGCATAAGGAAGCAAAGGAAAGCTTACCTGGAAATCTTTGAATTATTTGACATAAGCCTTCCTTTCTGCAAAGCTGATGCTGTATTTCTGGTAATATGTTTACCTGAAAGGAATGAAAAAGATTCTAGTGAGCTGGGCATTCATAAACGCTCGGGCAAAGGGAATGCCATTCACACCCTGCCCTCAGCCTCTGCAAGTCAACATTTAGATCCAGAATAAAGACTGGTCTATTTGGTAACATAAAATTAAAACCTGGCCCTTAGAAATCTTCAAAATATTTGGGGATACTTTTGAAAACCTTGATTTATTTCAAAGCCATGATAGTTGCTAGAAATAAAAGGGAATACTATGTCCTTATGGCAAACAGAGCAATACAAATAACTTCATAGTTTCAAATTTAGCTCTGGCAAAAAAATCGTACTAGGTATAACATACCTCAAAGTAAGTCAACTACCGTGCAGCGTTCCCAGGTCCCTCGGTGATTTCAATCACAGACAGTGGAAATTCAGTGCTAAACCTATTTCAAAACTCCATCCCTACTTTTCACTTCGTACTTCAGGGCATTATTGCTTCCAAATATAAAGCCCAGCTGTCATAAAACTCTACTTTAACAAAAATTTGTTCTTAAAAAGCCTCATACATATGATCACAAATTCAAATATGTACTTTAACTTGAAAAGGTACAAACAAGCTAATTCTCTCCCCTCCTAAATTTACACATTGGCTATTATCAACAAAATCTCAAAAATAATTCCAAATATGGTAAAGCCTTCTTAAAGTCAACAGAGAGATATAAGTGTATATTACTTTGAATATCCGATTCATTTTGAACAATTATCGGTTACTCTCAAACTAACGCACTCTACTAAAACACTGGAGTTTCTCTACTTGGTCTTGCTGGCGTGATTAGATGAGAGGAACGCAGCTGCAGTTGGAAAAAAGCGAGGGAACCAGGGACAAGGCTTGTGGTCCCACTTCTCCCACCCAACAGAATAACCTTGAGTCCATCACTTGGCTCCTCTTCCTCCCTCTCTCAGTTTGTAGAATAAAGCAGTTAGACTAGAGCCTTGGGTCTTTAAGTTCCACATCTGCTCTTAGATAGTATCAACCCAATAATTCAATCATAGTTCTAGTTTTGTTTTGTTTTGTTTTGAAATGTATTTGTATTGACTTCAGAGAGGAAGGGAGAGGGAGACAGAGATAGAAACATCAATAATGAGAGAAAAGCATTGATCGGCTGCCTCCTGGAGGCCCCCTACCAGGGACCGTGCCCACAGCCCGGCATGTGCTCTTGACCAGGATAAAACCCAGGACCCTTCAGTCCTCAGGCCAACGCTCCACCCACTGAGCCAAACTAGCTAGGGCTTGTTTTGTTTTTTAATGGTTCATTTAAAAAAGCACCTTAAGCTTTGAAACAATGCGTCAGTTATTCTCCAACCATCGCAATCCTACCTCCTCTTCATTTATTCAGTAAAATGCAAACTTCAGCCCAGGTCATCTATGAATGAAGCCAGACTCCAGCAGAACCCACTCTGCGAAATCTGCACCAGCAACATTCCTAAACGCTCCATTTGGAAGTCTACAGAGATACCAAAATCTGAGACACTTATGTTCTTACCGCACTGGGAACTGAGAAAAGGCTGTACATATAGTGCTTGATAGACTTTAGAGATCTACGTTTCTTAAATTCCAAATATGACAATTCAGAGACTAATGTAGGGGGAAAAAGGGTTTCATAAATTCCTGAAGTTTTCCATTCAGAATTCCTAAAGCAGGCTGGAGGTCAGGGACAGAGCACTGCGAAAATATGGGAAATTCATACCAAATGTTTGAGGCTTTTTGGTTGTTTTTCTTAAGCTAACATATAAAAGCATCTTTCAGATGTAAAAAGCTTCTAAAGGCAATACACTTGAACCATTTTCCCCCACAACAGGCAAAATGACTGGGCTGCTATTGACTAAATAAAATCTTTCACAATAGAAGGACCCAGAAAGAGAGCCAGCATTAGGGAAGTGACATGAAAGACTATGTACTGGCACAGGTCCGGCTTCAGACCTTCTCCCACTGCTTGAAGGGCTCAGAGCAAATGTGCTGTCATTGCAAATGCTTAAAGCAGTGGTTCTCAACCTGTGGGTCGCGACCCCTTTGGCGGCCGAACGACCCTTTCACAGGGGTCGCCTAAGACCATCCTGCATATCAGATATTTACATGACGATTCATAACAGTAACAACATTACAGTTATGAAGTAGCAACGAAAATAATTTTATGGCTGGGTCACAACATGAGGAACTGTATTTAAAGGGCCAGAAGGTTGAGAACCACTGGCTTAAAGCATCCTAAGTGCCAATGTCTGCTACAAACAGGATGGAACAGAAGCCTTGGTAACATGAGTTACAAAACTCACGGGCCAAAAAGCTTTGTGTAGATGCTGCAAAGATATGCACAGCGTGCACAGCCTTCACATAGAAGGTGCTTTGCTGTGTCTCATCAGAGAGATGACTTTTCGTTTGAGGCCTTGGATCAGAAGGATGAGCTGACTCAGGGTCAACACAGCACTTGCTTCAGAAATGCAGAGCCAAGGGAAGTAGCTGCTCACCCCTCCCGCCTTCGGTTTCCCCAGCCCTCACCCAGTGACCTCTTCCCATGCTCTTTCCTCCAAAGTCAATCTTTGGAGTTCAGAGTCACAGCAGATGACATAATCATGGTGACACGTGACACCAGAAATATCATCTCCATTCTAATCTGGAACTGGGCACCAAACTAAGCAGTTAAACTGAATGACTCAGCACAAAGAAATAAGCATAGGGTCACACGGCTATGGCAAATCATCTACATGATACATATTTTGACTTTTTAATTGCTAAACCTAACAACGTTTTTCTGTCTCTAGTGATTTATATTCTTATTTTTTTATGTACATCATAAAATTTATGATTTGCATCCCGGTATCAACTGGAACATCATCAAAGAATTTTTTCCTGGGTTAGCTAACTTTTATAAGATGAGCTTCTCCAGCTTCAGACTGCAATAAATATTTTTATCAGGCTTTATTTGGGGGGAAGCTCACCCACCGCCCCCACACATGCACACAACCTCCCCCATTACCAGCACCCCCCACCCTTCCAGTGGTGATTTTGTTACAATTGATTAATCTATATTGACACATCCTAATCACCCAAATAGTCATTTCTATACCCATTTTGTACTGGGTTTGAATGCTTTACAAATGTGTGTGTGTGTGTGTGTGTGTGTGTGTGTGTGTTTATAGACCGCTGTTCTGATATTTTCCTTAGCATAAAATCTTTCATATCTTTGAAAGAATTAGAATAAATATAAAATGATCATGACATTTGAGCCTGGGACAGTTCTGAGATCAAATTGGGACAAAGGGAATGTGCATTATTTTTTTTAATATATTTTTATTGATTTCAGAGAAGAAAGGAGAGGAAGAGAGAGATAGAAACATCAATGATGAGAGAGAATCATTGACTGGCTGCCTCCTGCACGCCCCCTACTGGGGATCAAGTCCCAGTGCCCTTGACCTGAATCAAACCCAGGCCCTTTCCGTCCACAGGCCAACACTCTATCCACTGAGCCAAAGCGGCTAGGGTGGAAATGTGCATTTAAAAAGATTTCAATCTCAACATATCGTCTACAACATAATCAGTGATAATCTGTATCTATATTATTTTTATTACATATGTTATCAGAATCAAGAGTAAAAAATCATTCTTAGTTGAAACCTTTAATTAATAAGTGCAACAGTATAACATTAACTGTAACATTTAAAAGCTGTTTAAAATAAAATTTAAAAACTAACACTACAGTAACTCATTAAGGAGAACAGGCATTTAAATGTAGACTATTTATAAAGTGTAAGAAAACATCCAAGTAATAAAAAATTTTTAGTCACTTGGGAACAATGAGAGTACACATACTTCATATTGTATCTTAGAAACTGCTCTTTTTCTTCACTAGATCTGTACAGACTTTCATTCCTTTTATTTTATCAAAAATAGGATCTCTGAAAGCTGTTCAGTATCATCCATAAGGAAAAGAATTAATGACAAGAAGAGAAGCAACTAATCAAAGAAAAAAAAGTCCTTTTATCCCCCCATGTTTCTAACACACAATTATTCCATCAAATTCACCTGGAACTGTCCTTGCATGCCTTAACAGAAGAGCCCTTTCAGTAGTTCCCAGTGCTCCACGTAGTACTAAAAACAGCATCCTGGTTTTAGGGGCTGCTAATCCCACACACATTTAGAGCTAGAAATCAATCCCTCATCTCAGGAAATACTAGAACCTGTCTGTGAGAGGTGAGATGCAGCCCCAGTTACTAAATTTAATGCTACCCCAACTAGTGGACCTCACTTCACTTTCAGCCACACATGGACCAATACAGTTTTAAATTTATATGACTCTCTTCCTGACTAGAGCGACTCCTGGCCGCTCATTTTCTATAACAGATCGATGGTCATCTTCATTAAGCACTTAAATTCCAAACCTCTGACATCGAATTTTAATTTGAGCAGATGCCCTTGCTTTGTCCACTTTACAGTCTCTGACAATCCCACAACATCATCAAGCAATTTGAAACAACTGTTTTGTTATTTTTTTCTTTATTGTTGAAAATATTACAGATGTCCCACTTTCTTTTTCCCCCTCACCCTACCCAGGCTTTCACCACATTATTGCCTGTGTCCATGGGCAATGCATATATGCATACAAATTCTGTGGTTAATCTCTTCCCACCTCCTCTCATCCCTCTGAGATTCATTAGTCTGTTCCATGCTCCCATGTCTCTGGATCTATTTTGTTCATTATATTCCACATTTAAGTGTGATCCTGTGATATTTGTCTTTATCTGGCTTATTTGCCTTTCCAGAATCTCCAGGTCCCTCCATGCTGTCTCAAAGGTAAGAGATGCTTCTTTTTTACAGCTGCATAGTATTCCATGGTGTAAATGTATCACAGCTTTCTTATCCACTCATCTACAGATGGGCACTTGGGCTGTTTCCAGATTTTAGCTATTGTAAATAACACTGCTATGAACATAGGGATACATATATTCTTTCTGATTGGTGTCTTGGGATGCTTAG